ATATATATATATATATATATAAGGATATTCCGTGCTGAGGACACTGGCCCTGCAAGCAGACACAAGGGCTAAAATTCTGGGTTCCAATTTAATCATGGGCAAGCTAAGTTAGGTTTTTATTGACTCATTGTGCATTAGGGATAACAGTAGTATCTCAGGATGATTTGGCAATGTTGTTAGTACCTATGTAAAATGTGACTCTCACAGAAGGTTCTTTCCTTCTTTGGGGAGATCTGCTCAGTTCACCCTCACCAAACGAGCCCTCAGTGGTGGCTAAACTCTCCATTCTTAGGACACAGTGAAAGGAGATAAAGAGGAGGAACCTATGGGCCTTTTAAATGATGATGACTCAATTTCCATTCCATAAGTATTTACTAAGGACCTTTGGGGTAAAGAAAAGGCCTTTTGGGGAGGGTGTGCTACATAAACTTTAAAATATGGGCTTTGCCCTTGAGGAGCTCATGATCCCTCTGAACTGGTCATCAGCATAAATCAGAAAGTCTGACATGTTTTCTACTCCACTAGGGGTTCTGGTGCCCACAACCAAAGCCTGCCTACCACACAGCCACCTGATAACCGTGGGGTCTGTGGTGTGCTTATGTGAGATGATGCACACAGTTAGCATTTCCAGGGACACAAAATGATCAATCATGACCTGGAACTCAGTATGCAGATGACACTGAATAGCTCAGCTCACTCTGCCCTCCTTCATGTCTCCACCCTGCTTTTAGTACTGCCTTCCTTCTAAGCCACCACCCAGTAGGCAACTTCTGTCAAACAGAAAGTGTAGTCACCCTAAGAACATCACAATCTGGGGGATCCGGCCAAGGGAGGACGGGAGGTAGTGTATCGAGAGTTGGCTGGCAAAGGACAGATGCCCGGGGGGTTTCGGCAATGGGGCCTGCCCAGTCCACCTCACTAGCTCTGTGTACTCGGCAGAGTCTGTAAGACACAGTTAATACTGGGCTGATCCAGTCACCAAGTCAGCAAGGCTGGTGTGGTGATACGCCTTCCCTGCTTTTTGGCACAAGGGGCAGAACAAATACTCAACTGGCCCCTCTCTCCTTACCTGGGGGAATGCTGTGGCATCAGGCAAAAGGTGGACACTACCTGAGAGCAAACAGCACGAGGGTGGGTAGTCCCCATGCTTGGGGAGGTGGGCCACGGGGGCAGGGACTAATCAGTACCACTGTGACTGAGTAAGATGTGCTGTCCGGGGCTGGGGCAGAGGAGGGGGATGCATGGATGGTAGGACCAGAGGGAGGAGTTAGTAGGAGTTCAAAGCCTGCTTAGAGCGCCGCTTCATGTGCAACCGCTCGTGGCGGATGAGGTCGTAATTTTGCAGGAAACTTTTAACACAGTACCGACACTGAAAGGTGCTGGCCTTGTCCTTTGTGTGGCTGCTGCTCCTATGCCGAGCCAGGTGGTCATGCCGCTGGAAAACCTTCCCACAGTCACAGCATTTGAAGCTCAACTTGCCCTTGCTCTTTTCTAGCAGGGAGTTGGGGCTGCTATCCTTGTGTTCTGAAGGCCCTGCCTCTTTTTCCTCTGTGGGCTCAAGTCTGTCTGGTTGGAGGTGTATCCGCATGTGAGAGAGCAGGTGGGAGTTGAGGCGAAAGCTCTTCCCGCAGGCACTGCATGTGTAAGGCTTCTGGGTCTCATGGGTCTCCAGGTGCCCGTCCAGGTCCTCACTGTCACTGAACACCTCCCCGCAGACTGAGCACGCATAGGGCTGCTCCTGCTCCTTGCGGCTCCGCAGGTGCCTGATGAAGTTCACTCTCCAGCGGAAGATCTTTCCACAGTTGGGACAGATGTAGGACTTCTTGGAGGAAGCCTGGCCCTCACTCCCCACGTCTGTGAAGTCCACGGAGCTGCTCCTGTGGGTGGTGGGAAGGACATGCTGCTTCTCTGTGGAACCTCGAGGCTCGTCAGGACAGTATGGGCTGTGCTGGGAGTCCTCGTCCCCCGAGCTGGACAGGACGATCTCAATGGACACCTCCTCGTCGAGGCCATTCTCTGGGGATAGCACACTGCCATCCGCTAAGGGAAAATCAACACAGATCAGTGCTACCATCCCTATCTCGATGATCCTACTTAGTACACTTGGTTTTGAGTCAAGAAACTTGTATGTTAAAATGCTCTCCAGAAGACTGAAGTACATGGTCAGCCCTGCAGGGACCCTGGTCTAGACTGAGAAGAAAGCCTTCAGCCAAGGTCACAGAGTGGTCACCCTAGGCATTTCTTTTTTCTTCACTTCTTCCCTGCCCCCTTTCCCTGAACCAATCCTTTGTTCTAGCTACTGGAAGCCCCTTTAAGCTCTGAGTCTGTATCTGTGTAAAGCCTTGGTGATTTACATGTCAGTTATCACCAGTTTACTTAACCAGATATGGGGAAAATTCTATCAGGACCCCCTAAAGAACTTGGGGGGGGAGGGCTTATTTTACAAAGAGTTCCAGATAAGCGCCAGCTACCATTTGCTGAATGCATAAACTCTGAAGGAACTGGGCTAAAATCTTTACATGCCACAGCCCTGTTTGCTTCAGAACAGATAAGCTATTTGATGCATTATACAAATAAGCAAATCAAGGTAAAGGTAAAGTGCCCAAGGTCACAAAGTAGGACTCCTGCCCTTTGTGCTGTCCAATGTCAAAGCCACTCCACAATCCCAGACTGCCCAAGGCCACTCCCACATATCTGAGGCCCAACCACAGCCACCAGTGGCCAATGGGTACAGATGTTCTGGATTTTATAACTTAGATGGCCTCTCCTCAGTGGTCACAGAAGGCAATTCCTGCTTAAAATGGTACCACAAGGAGGGCATAGGTGGGAAGGAGATGGACTGTAGTTCTGGATGCAGTCTCAGAGCTTAATACACAAGGTTTTCAATTTTGAAAGGTGAACTCAAGTCTTAGTACCAAAATTAAGAAATAAAAAGGAGTCATAGTGTTGGACCCCTTAAGGCATTAGCTGGTCATGTGGCTAATCTAGGCTAAATCACTAAAGGGAAGGTTCAGGGTGGTTAAAAAAGTAGAGGGTGGGCACTTTTCATCCAACCGTGATGGAGTGATCCACATGGAGCGCAGGGCTGAGAGAAATAGCAGGACAGGTAGGAAAAAAGCCACAGAGGGCAGGAAGGGTAAGGGAGACAACAGAGCCCAGCAAGCCAGTCAGAAAATTAAGGTGGTGGGGGGAGGGGTGAGACTGGGGAGTAAGAAGGGAGTCTGCAAAGAAAAAAATGCTGGGTATAGGAAAGAAGTCACCGGACAGGGGACTCAAGGCTGTGCCTGATGTGTTTTCTAACTGCAGGTTCCAGGCAGATGGCTTCTCTAAACCTGTAGTGCCCCATCTATAGGATGAGTATGCCTGTCCCAATTCAGCCCTCCATGTTGCTGGTGGTGCCTTGTATGTAAGTGTACCTTCTTGGGACACATGAGACAAATGGGAGGGAGGAAACTATTATTTAAATTCTATCAAGTGTCAATAACCAATAACACGATTTTTGATTGGCAATTTGCTTCTGTTAGCCCTTACTGGATTTGGGTAGAGGGAGAAAAAGTGTTCTTGTGGATGACTCTATTCTCTCTTCTGTTAACTGAGGAGACTCAAATTATGATGTCAGATAGAATGTATAGGGCAACATCCCCTCACTGACAAATCAGCAAAACCTGCCAAAAATAGATGAAGAATTTGTTTTTAAAGAGAGAGGGGAAGGTTTAAGCAACAATAGTGCTGTTCTGGATCATCAACACAACAATGGGAGAAACTCCTGGGGGGTGGGGGGAGAGTAGAGAAGAAGTGTACCTAAAACACACAAAGAAGAAGAGCAACCTCAAGGCATTCTGAGGTCAACATGAATGATTACAACAGTCCCTGAGTGGACCGCTGGGATGATAGGTAACACTGATTGCTATGCTTTTACAGATATTATTAAATCATATAATCCCAACTCTACAAAGCAGCTGTGATTACTGCCCTTGTTTTACAAATGAAACATTAAAGAAGAGAGACGAAGTTGCCCAAGGTTTCAGGGGAACTGAGCCCAACCAAGAGGGTTACGATAGCCTGTGAATATGCTGTGTCATCTCCCAGCAGAAATAAGTGGCTGGTGAGGGGCTGGAATGCTGCCTAGGATTAAGGGCAAAGGCACAAGGCCAGGCCAGCAGCTAAGGCTTCAAAAATGAGCCCTTGCCTTGGAGGGAATAATCATGGGAGAAAGAAGGGCTGTTTATGCATAGGGAGAGAGCTCACGGGACAGGAGTACATGGAGGGATGGACACAGGGAAGAGGTAACTATTTGGAGGAAGTGGGAGGGGAGCTGTTGCACTGGGGTAAATTGTAGTCAGTATCATGAGACAAAGTGTATTTATGCATGGAAAATGAATTTGCTCTGTAAATTTTCATCCAAATCACAATTAAACAAAAAAAAGAGCCCTTGATTAGTTCCTCTTGTGTCCAAGGGCCTATGGCAAGAAGCAGGGTTTAGGGTCAGGGGAAACGATTAAAAGCTAAATGTGAAAAAAAACAAAACAAAGATAAAGGCATGTGAGGAAAATATAGAGTGCTCTTATCATCTTTGGCTGGACTTTCTCAAGGAGGGCATAAAATCAAAAAGGAGAAGCTGACTACATTAAACAATGTTAAAAAAACATTTATGTACTGAAAGACATAAAAGCAAAGTTTTGAAAATGGGAGAAATTATATGCAAATATAAGAGGGAATGGGAAGATGCAAAATGCTGAGCTTCGACAAATCCCCAGAAAAACAAACCTCACTTCAGTAATACCTAGTAGTGGGAAAAAAGCAAGTGCCCTGGAGCCAGATCATGTGAGTCTGAATTCTGGCTCTGCCCCTTACAACCTGTAAATGTGTGACCTTGGGCAAGCAACTTTAGCTCCTTGGTCCTCTGCTGCCCCAAATACAAAATGGAGATGTAACAGTACCTACTCATACAGTAGCTGTAAGGATGCAATGCATAAAAACCCTGTGAAGTGCTTACCCTAGGATAGCACTTGGCACATAAAGAGAACTTAATAGATGTGAGGGGGAAAAAAAGGATAGAAGAATATAACTAAGCAGTTCACAGAGAAAACACAATAAATACACAAAAGATGTTCTACCTCAAAGGCAGACACCATGATGTAATACCTTCATCAGACAGGCACAAACTGCACAGATTGGGAACATCTTGTATGAACACAGATGTGGGAAAGCAGGCACTCCATCTGCTGTCAGAGAGTGTAGGCTGGTGAAAAACGCCTCACTGGAAGGCAATTTGGCAGTAGCAAAAAATAAAGACTGTGCCTCCCCCTGGCTTCATCATTTCTCCCTCTTCTCAACAGTGGCTTTTGGCTTCTTGCTATTTCAGAGCAGGCTCAATAAAGGAGAACTGAGTTGAAAACTCCCCTTTGTCAATAAGCATCACCCTTCTGAAAGTAGGTTGAAGGAGCTAAGAGACATGCCATGGACAGTCAGAAGCCAGAGAGGATTTAAAATGAATTGTGAACATCAAGAATTTATCCAAACTGAGAGCTGGCTAAATATGAGAATGTCACTACTGGCATTCAGAATCAATCTGCTTCAGAAAGCCAGGAGTGCGGTAATAGGGAGAGGGATTATCTTTCTATATTTACCACACTGTAAAATCCTCTTTGTCCACCCATTCTAGGGGGGAAGCACACATGACTGGTGGTCTAACATGGAGCCAGGTAGAAATAACTCGCAAATGCTGCCTGAGACAATGTGTGCAGTCAGTCTCCATAGCTACAAAAAACCACTATGACACAATGGGTTCAATCAAGTAAGAATCAGAGATTTAGGTCTGGCATTTAGGCAAAATTCAGAACCATAGATATATTTTAGTTTTTGCCTCTGGAAGTGGCAGCTTTTACCAAGATGATTCAGAATTTAAATTTCAGCAATTCCCCTGAGGGCAGTAATGGAATACTCAGACTCTAGAAGTCCCTTTCAACTTTGGCATTCCAGAAATTCTGGAACTCCAAGACTTTGTCCGAGGAATCTGACCTTCCATGCCCAAGGAAAAAGACATACCCAGTACATAGCAAATAGCACTACATCAGCATTCTGCCTGAACATACAAGGAAAAGGCAAGGAGGTAATCAACCCCAATTAGGAGTCGGCTCAGAGAGATCCTAGCAAAACCATCTGTGACAGCTGATAATGCCACACAAAGGCGATTTCAAGGGGTTTATAGGCTCTTGTAGAGTTAAAACTCCTAACCATACCTGCCCCTACCACCATCACCGTCCCCACCAACACACACACACACACACACACACATTCTCTCTCTCTCACACACATACACAAATCACTCACTTTACCTGGGTAGGTGCTTTGAGAAAGCGCCACCTGCTGGCAGGTCTGGAATTCTGACACCTGCAGCTCATTTTTTCTTCTTTCTTCTATCTGGAATGGCTGGAGACTCTGAAAGTCTTTTCAGAGAAAAAAATTGAGAAAATGATTTGGCCAGCAACTTGGCAGTGCTACTGAGGGGAAGCATCTTCACAGACGCAAGGTAGAGACTCAAGGAGAGAACACTGTTCCCAGTACATGGCAGCCCATCACTTAATTAAGTTTGCTGAGCTCACAGGATGACATCATGGGCGTGGGTTTCAAGCTAGACGGAACTAAACCTATATCCTGGCCTGCCATGTCTACCTCTGTGACAGTGGACATGTAATTTCACCACCTCTGCGTCTTGTTTTCACCACCTACAGAGCCTCCTGGGGCAGAGGTGACCAGGAGCTACTGCACTCGGCTCCAAGCTGATAAGTGTAGCACTGTCTGACACAGCTGTTTTGTTATAGGTCATAGATGGTGTGCCAAAACCTGGTCCACTGCATGCTGGCTTTAGGTCTCCAAAAAGGAAGGAGGTGTGGGATTTTCCCTGAAAGAGCAGACATTTCAAGGAATTACAAACATGAGTTCTGGCTACATGGAGAGAGCCTCGGGGTAAGATCAGGGTATGTGGCTGCTGCGCTGTATAGGGTCAAGCAAGCTCTAGCACCTCCCAATAGCACCTCCTGTGTGATGGATGAGAACTTTAAGCTAGGGCAGTTGGGAGCAGGCACTACGGTTAGTGCCCTCAGTACATGGAGACAATCCCTTTCCCAGCATCCCTCAGTGTATTTGTTTTTACTCATAGAGGAACCACTGGATCCTCAGCATAAACTAGGTGCTATCTGGTGGCATAGTGCCCAAGGCATTTGACTGCTAACCAGAAGGCTGGCAGTTTAAACCTACCAGTCACTCCCTGGAAGGAAGACTGGGCAATCTACTTCAGTAGCGATACTACCTCAGAAACCCAAGGAGGAGTCATTATGAGTCAAACTCTACTGGACAGCAGTGAGTTTGTTTTTTTATCTAGGCACTTAATCCCTGGTTGAGGGAGTAAAATCCCCACCCCTGGCAAAATGAAATTCTCACATTCTTTCCGCTAGGAGTCAGGGACAAGGCAAGACATGTTTTATCAAGATAGAGCCTGGCGGCTGGCTGGACGGCCTAAGCTCTCTCCTAGAGAGAGCAAGGACTGGGCTTGCCTCTGGCAAGAAATGGTAGCCTTCCCCTGCCCCCTACCCATGTCCACTCAGTTCTGGGATCCTTACTCACCCAGGTAGGAGACTTGGGGCATATCTTTCCCTTGGAGGTCCTGCAGCTCTGGAACCTGTGGCTCATTCTCTCCCTGAATGAGATCTGGCTGGGCGGCTGGGTCATCTGCTCACAGAAAACGGAAGGACACGCATGGGTCAACAGTCTTCTCTCACCGGCACCTTGGGTGGGCCGAGGGCAACAACTTCCCACCAGGTCCAGCAGAGAAGGTGGAGGCAGGCACCACAGGCAATGGCAAGCAAGTGTCATGTGGGGCTGCAGAGAACTAAGAAGGGTGGTGCAAGACAGGGAGGGGGATGCAGTGGGCTTGAACTCTCTGTCTAGGACTGATAAATTATAAAGTCAGAAGTGAAAAGACACTACAGGGTAAAAATGATGAGGGAAAAATAGATGCACAGAAAACATTTTATATTTGGTTTTGAGTTTGGGTAAACCTGATCTAAGGGTGGTTGGTAAAATGGTGGCTATGATCAATTCAAAAAGTGCCTGCAGGATCACTGGGCACAGATAACCTCCATCAGGGTGTGAGGTAGACAACAACCTGTAGTTGCAGCCAGCACCCAGGTCCCTGGTCTTAGGTGAGGGGGAGTTAACTCTTATTCAGAGGCAGTGAGATCCACCACATCCCTAGGGAAGAGGAAGTTAACTGTTACTTGGAAGAAGGGACCCCTCCCCCCCAGTTTCCTGAGCCTGGGGAGGGACAGTTAAGTGTTACTTGGAGGCAATGAGACCCTTCAATTTCTGATCTCAGAGGAGAGGGATTAACTCTTCTTTGGAGGCAGCAAGATCCTCCCCAATTCCCCAGACCTAGTTGAGGGGGAGTTAATTCTTACTCAGAAGCAGTGACACCGACCCCCACCCCAGCTCTTTGGGGGGAATGGTTAACTGTTTCTCAGAAGGAGGGAGAACCTCACAGTTCCCTGATCTTGGGGAGAGGAAGTTCACTGTGATTTGGAGAGGGCTGAGATCCCTCTCCCAGTTTCTCTGATCTTGGGGGTTCAACTGTTACTTGGAGGGCTAGAGAGGTCCCTCTTCCCTTATTTGAGGGAGGGGGCAGAAGTTAACTCTTACTCAGAAGCACAGAGACACCCCCAGCTCCCTGATCTTGGGGGAAAGGGAATTAACCCTTTTAACTCTTACTTGGAGGCAGTGAGACCCCACAATCCTCCCCTATGATGAATTCGCCATAGAAGCCAGTCTGGGCTGGGTCTAGAAGAGACCAGTCCTCTTCAGAGAAGCAGAAGATCATGTCCTTGAACGGAGAAACCCGGTTCTGAAACCACAGGAGAACAACAGGGATGCCTCAGTCTGGTGAGGGCTAATAGAGGGGACTACAAACAAGGGGTGGGGTGGGGTAAGCTAGAGCTGAGAGCGGACCCCAGCAGCACATGTGCACAGGATGAGGAGAAAGCAAATGACTCTAATCCAAGAGTCAAATGTCCAAAACTCCTTTTACTTCACCAGCTCTATCCTAGGTCTACATGGAACCATCTGATGTGGCAGAATCCAAATGGTAGATGCCTCACTGGGTGGTCAAGGAGTGGAGAAATAGGCCCTCGCACACAGTGGCTGCACAGCCCTACAACTCCCATGGCAGGCAATGGGGAAATACCCACCAAAATACCAACATACTTATCCTTGGATCCAGAGATTCCATTTCCAGAATTTATTTTGCACATGTGCAACATTAAGTTTATACAAGTTTTTTCATTATAGTAGTAATGGCAGTAGTTACACATCAAAAAACAAAACAAAACAAAACAAAACAAAAAACTTCTATGCCCATCAGCAGAGAACTAATTAAGTAAACCACAGGACATTTCACAAATAATCATCCTATAGACAATTGTGCAGCCATTAGAAAGAACAAGGCTCTCTCTCTCTCTGCACTGAAAAGGAATTTCTCCAAAGTGTGTTGTTAAATGCATAGGGATAAAAGGGTGTCTAGAAAGGTAGAACATCAGGTGTTCTCAAGAGAGGAACTAGGAAGTCTGGGTTAGGTGGACCTGGGAGACTGTACATTTTTGAATCTGGGACCATGAATATGTACCAAAAATTTTTTTCATTTTAAAAAATGATGGTACATCATTCCTGTGGCTTCCAGCCAAACAAAAGATAGGCATATGAGCTGAACATTTACATTAGGTAGAAACACTCCTTGGAGAGATCCATGGGAGAATAGAAGGGCTGTATATACACAGGGAGACAGCTTGGCAGACAGAAGTGCATGGGAGGGAAGGACACAGGAAAGAGGTAACCATGGAGAGGAAATGGGAAGAGAGCTGTTGCATTCTGGGAGATTGCAGTCAATGTCATGAGTCAAAGTGTATATGAACTGCTACATAGAAAACGAATTTGCTGTGTAAACTTTCACCCAAATCACAATAGAAATTAAAAAAAAAAAAAGATGGTGCAACCAGGTAATACCAGATAACCATAAAAAGAAAGATCTCAAATTAATAACCTAACTTTATACCCTGAGGAATTTGAAAAAGAAGGAAAAACTAAACTCAAAGTTGGCAGGAGCAAGGAAATAATAAAAATTAGCCAAACCTATCCTGAAGAAGAAGAAAATAATGAAAGGACTCACATTTTGTGATTTCAAAATGTAAAACAAAGCTATAGTAAACTGAACAGTGTCATAGTAAACAAAATAATGTCATAAGGGCAGAAATATAGACCAATGGAACAGAACTGAGTACAGAAAGTAAATCGTCCATCTATGGCCAAACCAATTTTCAGTGGGACTGTTGAGTGCATTCAGTGGGCAAAGAATAGTCTCTATAAGAACTGGTGTTGGCCAAAAATAACCAGAATTACTGATTGGATGGAGACTGGTGGAACCCCCAAGACTATGGCCTCAGGTTACCCTTTGGGCCTAGGATCATGAGACACCAGAGGAGCAACATTTACATAGAGGGAAAGCTGGACAGACAGGAATGCATAGTTAAGAAGGGCATGGGGGGGGGGGAATACAAAGGAGGGGAGGGGAGGAGAGTTTTTTATGGCTGGGGAAGGTAACCAGGCTGTAAAATCAAATGCGCATGACCTGTTATATATTAATCAAATTTACTTTGTAAATTTGCACCCAAAGCACAATAATAATAAATACATTGTAAAAAGAAAAAAGAAATAGTGCTGGCACAAATGGACATCCACAAGCAAAGGAATGAAATTAGACCTCTACTTTAAAACCATATTCAAAAATTGGCTCAAAATGGATCAAAAATCTAAATAAGAGAGTTAAAACTATAAAACTCTTAGAAAAACAGGATAAACTTTATGACCTTGCATTTGGCAATAGTTTCTTAGATATGACACCAAAAGCATAAACAACAAAAGAAAAATAAATATATTAGACTTGATCAAAATTTAAAACTTTTGTGAATTAAAAGACATTTCAAGTAAGTGTAGACAAGTGAAAAAGTTCCAAGAATGAGAGAAAACATTTGCAAATCATATACATGATAAAAGTTTAGTATACAGAAAATATAAAGAACTCCTACAATTCAACAATAAACAAAAGACACAATTAAAAAATGGACAAAGGATCTGAATAGACCTTTTTCCAAAGAAGATATGCAGATGACCAATAAGCACATGAAAAGTTGCTCAACATGATTAGTCAAGGTGAAATGCAAATCAAAACCACAATATCACTTCACCCCTCCTCACTCACTGCCTTGGATTTCGACACACCGTGACCCCTGCTTGGGTTTCCAAGACAGTAGCACTAGGGAAGTAGATTGCCCAACCATTCTTCCAAGGAGGGGCTGGTGGATTTGAACCACCAGCCTTCTGGTTAGCAGTCAAATGCCTTAGGCACTATACCACCAGAGCTCCACCCCCCACTAGGATGGCCATTATTTATTAAATAAATAAATAAAAAGTCTTGACAAGGATATGGAGAAATTAAATTACTCATTCATAGCACATGATAATGTAAAATGGTACAATCACTGCAAAAACATTTTAGTGGCTCTTTAAAAGCTAAACATAGAACTGCTTTATGACCCAGCAATTCCACTCCTACATATATACCCAAAAGAACCAAAAACAGGGACTGCAGAAGATATTTATACACCAATATTAATTGCAACATTATTCACAATAGCCAAAAGGTAGAAATAACCCAAGTGCCCATCAACAGATGTATGGATAAACAAAAAGTGAGATATACATACGGTGGAATATAATTCAGTCAAAAAAAAAAAAAAGAAATGAAGTTTTGATACACAGAGTGATAAAAGTTTTTTAAGTATAAATTACTGTTAGTTGTAAAATGTTGTGAATGTAATTAATACCACAGGATTATATGTTTAAAAACGGTTAAAAGGGCTAATTTTGTTATATAATTCATCATTCAAAAATAAACCTAGAAAAAAAAAAAGGGAAGACTAATATAACAAACGTATCTTTGAACTAGATTAACTTTACATTTTCTCATCTGTATTTTCTTCTTTCTCTCACGTCTATGTGTAGGCAGGTTATGTTTACTTGCTTCCTCTGGATCATTACCATTTGGTAGTTTTAGACTTAAGGAGTCCTGTGTGGTGTAAATGGTTAAGTACTCAACTTCTAGTTGGAAAGTTGGCAGTTTGAACTCATCGGGAGGCCCCTCAGATGAGGGGCCTTGTAATCTCCTTCCAAAAGGTCACAGCCTTGAAAACCCTATAGAGTAACTCTACTCTGCACATTAGGCCACCATGAGTTCAAACAGACTTGATTGCAGCTAACAACAGTTGTAGGCATCCATCATGATGTTTTACCCCAAAATACCTTAGTGTGTATCTCCAAAGAAAAGTACTATCAGCATAGTATTTTTAATAGTGGCTGTCACCCAAAGGACATTTGACAATATCTGGAGACATTTTTGTTTGTCACCACAGGGGGTGGGGTGTTATTAGCTTCTAGTAGGTAGACATTCTATGTCTACATCTAAACATCCTACAACATACAGGACAACCCCCCAACAAGGGATTTTCTGGCCAAAATGTCAATAGTGCAGCATTGTTGAGAAACCGCTCTATGACACCTAAGAAATTTAACATTGGTTTCATAGTAACACTTAATGTCTTTGGAATTATGAACAGTATTACTTTTTCAAGGAAAAAAAAAAAAACCCATAAACCTATGAGGAGTTCCACTGCTTACTGTGATAAGCAGCCAGGACTGGGAACTGCTGGGTTACAACTTCTAATGGGCCTTAGAAAGCTTGATAAACATAAATAGTGTCATTAAATGTCCACCAGTAGAAATAAAAATGAAATTTAAGAGTCTTCCATATGTTTACAAGTTTATAAATAGGAATCTATTATCAAAGACAAAATAATAGCTGAGGATGTCTGCTGGGAAGTAAAAGCATTTTCTGGACAGAATTTGGGAGTATATAACAGAAGCATATCCTGTTCCCTTGCAATTCTGGAAAATTTTTTTAATAATCAGAAATGTATACAAATATACTTGTAAAAGCATTTACAATACATTGTTCTTTATAACAGCAAACAAACTGGAAGCCTAAATGTCTATATCCATAGACTATGTTAGCACTATGTATGGGTCTGCACAGTCGGAAAAGTCTGAATACACAGACCCACATGTTAGCAACTGGCCTTTTCTGGCAGTGGAATTACACGTGAAGTTTCTTTTACTCTTTATGCCTTTCTCTAGTGTCTCAGCTTGTATCATTTTAATATTAAAAACTGAAACAAGATGCCCATTTATCCACCGCAAGATTTAAAAAATGTTAACATGTAATAGAGTCTGTATGTCATATGTTCTGTGAAAAGGCATGACCAATCACAGGCAGATTTTCATCTACTCTGTTGTACTCTCAATCCCATCCACCCTCCTCACTACCCTAAGGGAGTCAGCACTCTGGATTTGGTGTTTAATATTTAGGGTATGCTTTTTAAATTCCTACTGCATTTGTCTTGAATAATACCATAGTACTGTTCTGTGCTTTCAATTGTTAAACATGCCTTTCCACTCACCACTATGCTTAATTAAGATTCACTCATACCAATACATGCAAATCTAGTTCATTCACATATACTACTATATATAATTTCATACAGTGTAAATTATTTTACCCATTCTTCTTCTGCTAATGTTTTGTTATTTCCAATATTTTGCTACTATAAGCAACAGTTCAATGAAGATCTTTTTCTAATCTTCCTTGTCCATGCATAGCATTTCTCCAGGCTATACATATGAGGAGTAGAATTACTGGACCATAAGGAACTCACATATTTACTGACATTAAATATTTCC